TCTCTCTCTCTCTCTCTCTCTCGCACACACACACACACACACACACACACACACACACACACACACACACACACACACACACACACACTCGCGCGCGCGCGCGCGTGCATGCATTTGCACATGTAACAGTGGAGATGCCCGGAAGAGAGAGAAAAAAGAGGGGAAGGGAGGTCGTATCTTGGTGTATGAACAATTTGTCCGCCCTGGTAGTCGGATATAACAACAATTTGTTCAAGTCCTGAGCATTTCAACAATTCCAACATTTCAGAAGTTGGGTATACCGATAATTGTGCCATCACAAATGATGCCCAGGCAAAGCAGCAATTTGTGCAGCAGTGTATTGGGATATAGCAAGAAGTTTGACTTCAGTCCCACTTACAACAGAAAAGTCAAAGTCAAAAGTAGGGTTCATTGGTTCAGCGATTTCAATGGTTTTAACTTCAACTTCAATCGCAATTATCCCGATACTATATCAACCCATACTTCCCTGGAAAAAATTCCTTTGGGCCCCTGGAGATTAACGGACTGACATAAACCACAGCGGGCCAGGCCTTGTTGCTGCTATGTTCATGTTTGGAAAGCACGAACCTGCCCACTACGGACGATCAGGTTCATGCTCTCAACGGATGAACATAGCATCAGTGGGGCCTGGCTTCAAGTTTCCAGGCGGTCTCTTTTCCAGGGAGTCTGCTGCAGAAGACCCGTTCTTTTTTCGTTCTGCTGGCTACTGTCGTCACCCGAATAGAATGCCTGTTCGTTATCGCTCCATCTAGTCTGAATACTGCACCAAATACAGCTTTAATGACCGAGCATTCTCCTTGCAGTTCCTCTGAATGATAAGGTTCAATGAACCTCTCACACCACCTGCAGCGGCAAATCACTGAGATCACCGCGATCCAGACACTTCAGCCACACTGAGATCACCGCGATGCAGACACTTCACCCGATCATTCACTCCGTAGGAGCAACGGGTGGTGTGTACGAAAAAGACAGCCGCTGCGGCGTAATCAGAAGGGACGTGATCAGCACGAGCTGACGACTCATGAAGATGCCGCCATTGGTAGTTTATCCGCCGCGCCGGCACTGCCGCACGTTCTCAACCAGTGCCCAACCAACCCCATATCCAGTCAGACATTCTGTCCGCCAGTTGCACTTTCGGGCCCGTTCACACTGGTTCTATATTCATCCCGGAAAGCATGAACCTGTTCATTGCCACAGTCAGGTTCATGTGTTCCAAGCATGAACATAGCAACATCCGATTCCCAGGCCCTTAGTCAGTCTGTGGGTGCTGAGTCAGTGTGATCTCCTCTCGTCACACACACAACCTCATCACTTGTGGATTTTTTTTTCACTATAGGAGTTAATACACCTCTACCTGGTCTACCGTCTTCACCAGAATATACCGCCTGGCCATGATTGCAGTACCTAGACTGCATTTTGCCCTAAATACACAGCTATAATGACTGCCCGTTCTATTCGGGTGAAAAGACATGTGTCCTACCCTTTTTCAGATTTTTGCAAGGAATATGAGTGTGAGCGATATACATAAAACCAAGTTGCGAAATCACACAGCTGAGCAAGTAGTAGTATCCCAAGTAGAGAGTACAAATGCACCGAGAAAACCATCCATAAAGAGCAATACAATGAAGTATYGAGCCAATGTCCAAGCCCGTAGGCCACACCAACACAGTATCCAGAGTCGCTCTCTCTGYCYGGCGCACAGCGCCCAGCCTACTCTACCATACTATCCTACTCTACAGCTGGTTCACACAACAGGATCACTTCGGCTCACGAAGACCAATRWACAYGACTGTCAACACCATCGGCGACCTCTCTTCATGTACCAGGTACGTAACTCGTCACCCTCAATCAGACCTTGATTATCCCACACAGCGCCTCACTCCCCTGAAGACCACCCGATCATCCGCTGTACCCCCTGGCGCCCAGCAGCCCGTCTATGGCTGCCTGCGCCCCGCTGCCCTGCAGCGCCCCACTACACCTCTTGCGCTCCGTCAGCGCCCTTGGCAGCAGCGCAGCATCAAGGCAATAGCGCAGCAGCACTTCCCCAATGCCAACACTGGCCAGAATGCCTGGCCTGGGCTGCCTCACTTCCTATATGGAAGTGGCAGCCTGCTGCATGCTGCGTGTGGCCTGGCTGGAAGCTTCCAGTACCTTCCGGTTGGGCCTCAGACCCTGTGCCCAGGCCGAGACTTACAGGTGAGGGCCTGGGCCCTTTACAGTTGGGCGCGGCCTGAGTCTCCGGACTTGGGCTGTTAGCTGCATCTGCGCAGGGCCCCCAGGTAGGTGAGTCGGCTGTACTGCTTTTCCAGAGGCCGACGGCCTGCTTCTCAATGTATTGGCCCTGCTTTGTGTGTAGGTGCCCAGGCACAACTTTCGTGGCCTGGGCCTACTGTACGGCGCACCTTAGTGAGACTCGCGCGTTCATTCAACCAACCGACGCGCTGCAAGAGCCTGAATACCCACATATGGAAATGTCGAATTTGGCCTGTGACGAATATTCAGGCCCGCCTTCACTTAGGGCGGGCACTTGGCTTGCTGGGGCCTTGGCCCAGAACAATGTGACGTCTGAAAGGGCCACTTGAGGGCTTGTTCCTCACATTCCATCCACCTTAGCTTCGAAAGTCCGCTGAGATGCTTCATGCTGGTGCCTTCCCCTTCAGTCTTTTCTCATAATCGGCCACGATCTGAGGAGCTGTCTTGACAAGTTCCTCCCTTGAAATCCATCGATCTTCCTTCGGATCTGTATGATGCCTGAAATGTACTCTGTATTCCCCTCGCAGGTTTGGGAGGTCTTCCCCTGCCAGGTGGCTTAGGAACAGGCGTATCTCTGTGATCCAGGATGTCGTCGACGTCCACGTGGCCATCCATGGTTGGGGGCAGCATAGATCTTCGTGATGGGAACTGTGCTGTCTCAGCGAAAGGTGCAAGTTTGGAAGCGTGGAAAACAAGGTAAGTGCGTAAGTGACCAGGGATACGAATAACGTACGAGGGACCATCCAAATCATTCCCCACGATATCCAGGACTTCCCAGGGACCGAAATACTGAGGCATTAGTTTCCTAGAGATGCCAAACTCCTGTCCCAGTTCACTAGCCTTGACCCAGACACGTTCCCCTACCTGAAATGTGGACTGTCGACGACGCTTGTTCTCAGAAGCAATCATGACCTCCTGAGATTTCTTAATATGTTTGACAGTCTGCTGCAACAGTTTCTCATACTGGACACCAAATTCAATGGTTCCAGGAGTTGCAGCAGTTCGGTTTTCAGGCAGGAGGAAGTCTAGAGCGGATCTAGGCTTCCATCCGAGATGTAGCTGATTAGGACTGACACCGATGGTGCTGTGTACAGCATTGTTGTACAGGCTGGCGATGAGAGGCAACTTCTCATCCTAGTCATCCTGGTTGGGCTTGATGTAATGCCTCAGCAGATGCTGCACCACTCGGTTCATCTGTTCAGCCTGCCCATTTGCTTCGGGATGATTCCCAGAAGTCATCTGAAGCTGGCTGCCCATCTGTTCAGCGGTCTGTTTCCACATCTCACTAGTGAAACGGACATCTCTATCACTAACGATAGTCTTCGGCAATCCAAAATCATGCACCCAGTTGTCCATGAACAACTTGATGACGTGCTCAGTCCTGGCAGTCTCTGGCATGGCGATTAGTCTAGCGTACTTAGTGAACCTATCCACTATGACGAAGATGTGCCTCTTGCCATTCTTGTTGGTCACAAGAGTATCCATGAAATCCATGGAGATACTCTGCCCTGGCCAGCAGGAATGGGTAAAGGCTTGAGTAACCCAAGCGGAGCTTGAGTCTGTGGCTTGTCCCGCTGACAGACTTGACAAGTCTCCACGTACTTCTTCACATCGTCAAGCATGTTGGGCCACCAGAATCGCTGTACTAAATTAGCACTCGTCTTCTTATAGCCGAAGTGTCCCATTGCGTCGTGGCACTCACCTAAAAATAAACTACGCAAAATCTCTCTAGATGGAACAACTAACCTCTTGAACCCTGCCTTCTCAAGAAAGAGCAACCCATCCACCATCACAAACTCACCAATGGTGGCCTTGTCTTTAGCCTGTAGTTTGTTGATGATGTCCATCGTGATGGGATCTTCCTTGTAGGCTTCATCCAACGATCGAGTCACGTCCTCAGAAAAACCAAACTCAGAAATCAGCGCACCTAGGTAGTCTGCCCTCCTAGACAACGCATCTGCAACCTTGTTGTACTCTCCCTTCAAATAATCTAGTATGAAATCATGTTGATCTATGACTTCAATCCAGCGTCTGAGTGCATCGGAGAGAACTGGTTGAGTCTTGATCCACTTGAGTGTCTGATGGTCAGTTCTCAAGTAAAGAACCTTCCTAACAGGTAGTGCCTCCAGTGGACAAGTGCCTTGTAAAGAGCGTAGAGTTCCCTCTCGTAGGTGGACTTTGCCAACTTTTTTGAAGGCATCTTTTTGCTCATGTACTCGATCGGTCTCAACTTCTTCCCTTCCTACTGAGCCAACACTGCGCCAATCCCATATTGGCTTGCGTCAGTGGTTACAACGAATGGCCTTTGCGGGTCGGGTACCATGAGAACCTCATGATGCGTGAGAGCATGCTTCAAACGCTTGAAAGTTGCCTCACACTCGTCGGTCCATTCCCATGGTGTATCGAATCGAGTTAGATCAGTCAAGGGAGATGTGATCGTGCTATAATTCTTTACGAAATTGCGATAATAACCACACATTCCCAAGAATGATCTAACCTCAGTCACTGACTGGGGTCGTGGCTAGTCATGAATGCTAGCCACCTTCGCATCTTCGGGCCTAATTCCATCCGCGGATACCTCATGACCCAAGTACAAGATTCGAGTGCGACCAAACTCGCATTTCTCAGAGTTTATCTTATACTTGTGCTGCCGAAGGAGTGAAAATATTTTGTCTACATGCTGAGCATGCTCCTCGACAGATCTACTAAAGATAAGTATGTCGTCGAGGTACACGACAACAAACTTGTTTAAGTAGTCATGGAAGATCCTATTCATGGCATGCTGGAATGTACCCGGCGCATTGCAAAGGCCAAAAGGCATCACCACAAACTCGTACAGACCGTACCTAGTATGAAATGCGGTTTTGTGCTGGTCCTCTGGTCTTATGGCAATCTGATGGTAGTCGGATTTTAAGTCTATCTTTGTATAGTACTTACACCCCTGCACCCTATCCAATAGGTCGTCGATGTGTGGTAGAGGCTCTGCGTTCTTAACGGTGATGGCATTGAGGCCTCTATAATCAATGCACATCCTTAGTGTTCCCCCTTTCTTTGGAACAAACAATACTGGTGAGCCAAAGGGGGAAGTGCTAGGCCGAATCCAACCCTTCTCTGTGAGCTCTTTCAGTTGCCGCCGAAGTTCGTCCAACTCGGTTGGAGCCATCCTATAGATTCTACCCTTAGGTGTTTCACTACCTGGGATAATCTCTATGGCATGGGCAATCTCCCTGTCTACGACTCCTGTAGGCTCCTCGAACAAATCTGGGTACTTAGCGACGATAGTCTCTATCTCTGGGGGTGTTTTAACGGCCTTCCCTTTTGCAGAGACATAGACTAAGTACATTCCTTCCTCTTGGTTCTGTTTATAATAATTATAAAAGGCAGGTGCGCATAAGCACCCATAGGAGTCTATTAACCTACTGGCTTTGTACTTGGCCAGTCTCACGGTTCTCCCACTCGGCAACTCGTGCTTCAACACCTTCTTGTCCCAGTCAAACTGGGGCTTGGCAACCTCGAGGTAGTACATGCCCAATAACATGTCAAAGGGCAACTCGTCGCTCACCAGGAATGATATATTGTGGTTTATCTCTCCTCCTGGGTAGGAGAAGGTGCATACTACATCTTTAACGTAGTCCTCCACCATCATGCGCTCTTTGTTGGCCAAAGTAGATGCTACCGGTCTACTAAGGCGCTGCACCCGGTCCTTTAGGCACAGTCTGTCAACGCAGTCGCGACTTATGAAGTTTCGCGTAGAGCCAATGTCTACGAAGGCGCCGCACTTGTGACCGCCCACATCAACTTCCACAACGAAATGCTCCCCTCTAGGACCTCTACTCAGCGCCACCCAGGACTCACGAGGGTCCCTTGCTGACCACTCACCTTGAAGGTCCTCTAAGGCCTCAGGCACATCCAACGTACAGAGTATAGTTGGGTCCAGATGCGTCTGCGGGGTAACTAAGGAGTCAATAGCTTTGGCCATCTCTTGAAACGGGGAGGGTACATCACCCGCTTCAACGAGAGTGGAAGCAGCTATAACTTCTACTGACCCTAAGTGTTTCCCGAGCTGGAGCTCGTAGAGGCCCCAGATTGAGAAGAAGAGAACCCACCCTTAGGAGGAATCTTCTGCGAGACCTTCGGGTTCTTGCATTTGAACTGTGTGTGACCATACTCACCGCAATTAATACAAGCACCTCGGCTCCAACAGTCCCGCCACACTTCTTGATGCTCTAACCCAAGCAGCTATTTTGTTTGGGTTAGCGGCCTGCCCCTAACTCCTTTGTTGACCGCCCTTGCCGCGGCCAGCTGCCTTAGTCTTAACTATGGCGGCGAGGTTGCTACCCTCAACACTCTCCTCGCTGTCAAACTTTGAACCCTCCACAAGATCGGAAACATCATCGATCTCGGTTCGATTCCTATCAGAATCAACCATCATCAATCGACTACCCTTCTTCTTCCACTCTTGTGGAGTCTTCTTCTTTCTCCCATCCGTAGAAGGGGTTTGAGCTCCACCCAACGTAGCCTCTAAGTCTAGGGCCTTCTTGCTGAATGACTCAAAGGTGTGATACTCTCTCCGAGCCTCGCTGGCTAATAAATTCCTAATGTCTGTGGGAAGACATCTAAGGAACATGGTCAGCAAGACCTGTGAATTGTACTCCACTCCCGGGACGACGATCAGGCGCTCTACGACTGTGGTGAGTTCCCGCACAGACTTGTACTTTTTAGTATCAAGTTTCAAGAGCCCATCAGTGGCAATCTGTGCCTGCTGAGGGTTGTGCCAATGAGGCTCCACTAAGTCCATAAAGCTTTCTAATGTGTGGGTCTGCGCCCAATCATGCATATTCCTGCCGAAGCCCTTTGAAGCTACCAATCCGTTTAGCCAACGGGCTGCTGAACCCTCTAAGTAGGATGCAACAGTAATCACCTCCTCTTCTACCAATGTCCTTTTGACCCTCACCCACACTGGCACCGTTCTCAACCATGTGTCGAGAGCCTCATTCTTCTCGTCTCCTGAGAAGGTTGCAGGTGGGTTCAGTGGGGTCTTGGGATACCAAAGGTATTGCTGTCCCGCTTGCGAGACAGGTGGCGACTGTGGTGTAGCAACAGTCGCTGGACCAGAAGATGAAGAAGCAACAGTCTGAGATAGTGCTACTGTTGATGAAACACTTGGTGGTGGTCCTGACTGAGCGGCATAAAGGCCTGTCATCGCTGAAAGTGGCAGCGATGGTAAAGTTGCTGGCCGGATTCCTGGCTTATGCAACGCTTGCAGAATCTGGTCTAGAGTATCCTGCATTGCGTCCATCTTGTTGTCTATGTACGCATGCATGGAGAGGATGCTTGCCTTCAGGATCTTTCCTGTAGTGTTTAGGGCAGTGTCATCTAATGCCTCTAGCGCAGCCATGTCTGCCTCCCTACTCTCTAGTCTGACACTTCTCTCTTTGATCTCTTTCTCTCTCTTAGTAGCTTGTCTAAGTTCCTCCTCTAATCTTAAGCGGATCCTCTCTACTTGTTGGAGCTCCATCTGCTCCCGAGTGCGTGGAGGCGGCGAGCTGAACTGCGAGCCCGCCATTTGACTAGTGCCAACCCCTGACGTACTGGAGATTGACTGTGAACTGGTCGGCATGCCTAGCCCTTGACCAGTTGAGTTTGCAGCAGTTGCTGCGGAAGTAGCATTACTCATTGTTACCACTCTAGCGGCTGCTGCTTCTCTTGCAACCTCAAGATTACCGGCCCTAGCTTCAGCCCTTAATCTTTTCTCTTCTCCCGGTTGTAGGGTCTGGAACACTCTAGGGATTCTAAGGGATGATAGCCTTGTTAATCTCCTATCGTCATCTGCACCCTCACCACCCTCTGATCCACTCATAGGTTAGGCAGGCGTTGTCTGCACTAATGTCCTCGCTGGAACCTACCGCAGCATGCGTCTGACCGGATCTAAAAGTAAATAATTAAATAAACATCCGGCGAGTTACCTAGTCTACTAGTCAAGCGGCATCAACAACATCTACACAAACTGTACACATTGTCTAAACTTTATTCTGACTAGTCTGCACATAAGATTCGAGAAGAACTGACTATGGTAGATTACAGTCCTACTCTGGTCTGTCTGTTAGGTGTCAGCAATCGGTCAACCAACTAATCAAAAATAAAACTTAGCCAATGTGAGCAGATGTATGCACAATGGATATGTAAGTGATGTACAGTTGAGTTCTCGATTGGAATCCCCTTCCCCTGTATCCAACGTACCTGTGAGCATCATCAAGTTGCGGTGTCTAAGGTGTGCAACCACGACCCACCCCTGTGCCCAAGAAGTATGCTTATGACCAGCCTGCCCCTTTGTTTACCCTCGCGTGCAACGAGCCTTACGTCTGACTGATCTGGCTGATCAGGAGGGATATAAGGAGAGCCCCCATCTCTTCAGGAATTATTTAACGTCGCAATCAGGACGACGATCACAACCAGTGGACAGATCAGACCCCAACCAGAAATGTTTATAGACGGTCTGGGAGCATCTCAATAGGACTGGTCAGTCCGCACACCCCTTCTATCAGCGCAGCAAAGAGCCTTAATGGACAAAGCAGCCATCACATGCATGTACTAATCCCATTGGGTTGGCATGGTGACCGTGACCCACGTGCTTCGACCAGGGCCCTTCAGAGGCACCGCCCTCTCCTGCCAGATGCGCCACCGGGAAGAATGTCGTCTCTCAAGATAGAGAGAACACGACTCCTCACCAAAGAGAGGACACTCAAGTTGGACTCACTTCCTCACGGTAAGAAGAGATTGAGAGGCTAGATAAGGAATGGGAACAACATACCTGGAGATAGCTGCCCCCAACCACAGATTTCTCACCAATTGGGATGTTGTGCATTTCGATGACCGGTCGATAGCCTCGGTACCACCCACAACGCAATGTAGTGCCACCTCAGCCAAAATGCCACTTCAGCATACTCTCATGATCATACATACACCCACTGTCGCCACAGCTCCCACGCTGTCGCCACAGCCTTCCAGCGGTCGGCCTCTCTACCTCGGCCCCGCTATTCAACCAGCGGCAAAGTATACTCACTGCACATGAAGCATCCTCAGCGCACCAAGTTACAATGTCACAGGTGTCAGGTAAGCGGTGATCAGCAACCAGCTCCGATACCAAATTGCAAGGAATATGAGTGTGAGCGATATACATAAAACCAAGTTGCGAAATCACACAGCTGAGCAAGTAGTAGTATCCCAAGTAGAGAGTACAAATGCACCGAGAAAACCATCCATAAAGAGCAATACAATGAAGTATYGAGCCAATGTCCAAGCCCGTAGGCCACACCAACACAGTATCCAGAGTCGCTCTCTCTGYCYGGCGCACAGCGCCCAGCCTACTCTACCATACTATCCTACTCTACAGCTGGTTCACACAACAGGATCACTTCGGCTCACGAAGACCAATRWACAYGACTGTCAACACCATCGGCGACCTCTCTTCATGTACCAGGTACGTAACTCGTCACCCTCAATCAGACCTTGATTATCCCACACAGCGCCTCACTCCCCTGAAGACCACCCGATCATCCGCTGTACCCCCTGGCGCCCAGCAGCCCGTCTATGGCTGCCTGCGCCCCGCTGCCCTGCAGCGCCCCACTACACCTCTTGCRCTCCGTCAGCGCCCTTGGCAGCAGCGCAGCATCAAGGCAATAGCGCAGCAGCACTTCCCCAATGCCAGCACTGGCCAGAATGCCTGGCCTGGGCTGCCTCACTTCCTTTATGGAAGTGGCAGCCTGCTGCATGCTGCGTGTGGCCTGGCTGGAAGCTTCCAGTAGCTTCCGGTTGGGCCTCAGACCCTGTGCCCASGCCGAGACTTACAGKTGAGKGCCTGGGCCCTTTACAGTTGGGCGCGGCCTGAGTCTCCGGACTTGGGCTGTTAGCTGCATCTGCGCAGGGCCCCCAGGTAGGTGMGTCSGCTGTACKGCTTTTCCAGAGGCCGACGGCCTGCTTCTCAATGTATCGGCCCTGCTTTGTGTGTAGGTGCCCAGGCACAACTTTCGTGGCCTGGGCCTACTGTACGGCGCASCTTAGTGAGGCTCGCGCGTTCATTCAACCAACCGACGCGCTGCAAGAGCCTGAATACCCACATATGGAAATGTCGAATTTGGCCTGTGACGAATATTCAGGCCCGCCTTCACTTAGGGCGGGCACTTGGCTTGCTGGGGCCTTGGCCCAGAACAATGTGATGTCTGAAAGGGCCACTTGAGGGCTTGTTCCTCACATTTTGATCATCCCTGTCTTTATCTCTCAGCATCTTTTCACTGACAAAGCTGTGTGCTTCCTTTTCTTTTTGTTCTTCTTTTTTTTCGGAGCTTTGTGCTTTCTGATTTTGCTCTATCCTGTTTCCGTACCTTGAACCTCGTGCCATTCTACTATAGGAGGAGGAAACCTGGATTTCCTTATGATCCAGATTCCCTGCTACTGTACCAATCAGATTCCCTTATCCAGATTCGGATAAGATAACCTTTTGGAGATGTGAGCCTTCTGATTTCGCCTTATCCAGATTCCCTCCTGCTATGTCAATCAGATTCCCTTATCCGGATTTAGATAAGGCTACCTTTCTCATTTCGACTTATCCAGATTCCCTCCTACTATACCTGAAACGGTTTTCACCTCTTTGCAGTAGCAGATGTAGATCTCAGGGTTCGATCCCTAGACCTTGCCCTACCTGTGTACAGTACCTGTGTAGACCCCGAGAGTTGAACCTGTGACCTGTGTATTCGTAAGCAGTTGGTAGGCTGCCATAGGTCCGTAGGTAGCAGGGGTTCGATCTGTAGACCTGTAGAATAGAAGTCTTAGCGAGTTCCAGAAGTCTTAGCTGTAGCCCTTCTAGAAGGTCAGCAAGTGGGCAAGTGGGCAAGTGGGCAAGTGGGCAAGTGGTGAGTCAAGTGGTGGACTAAACTGCAGTGCAATTGCAGTACGACCTCGGTGGGTTGGCAGTGAGCCCCCATTCAGTCAGCGGTAAGGTCCAGTCAGTCCCAGTCCGGTCCAGCAAGTACCACAAGGGACTGTGAGCACCATGGGCCGATGGAAGAGGGCAGATCAACGAGTTTCAGAAGTATAAATCAAGAGGCAGCGCCCAGCCTTTCATTCATTCCTGCGTGTGCCATGCAGAAGCGCTGCCACAACGACTTGTGCAAGGAGGTCCGCAGAGAGCCCGGAGCTGAAGTGGGCAAGACAGAAGGAGCGTAGCATAGCGATAGGGTAGTTGCGGCCATAGCCGCCATAGCTAGAGTTAGTGTGTAGCGAGTGTTTGTTGTCTGTGTGAATTCAGAGATTTGCGTGTGGGATATCCAGGGTGACCCGGTGTGTGTGAACAGTGAGTTGTTTGGGCGCTGAGTCGCCATAGCCAGTTTAAAGTGAACTCGTATCTGGATGCCATATCTCTGAGTTTTGAGTGGGCGCATGTCGCCAGTTTGCTGCGCTGCTGTTTACATGCATGAAAAGTGTGAATGAAAGCGAGTCTGATTGCATACCAATCCGATTCACTTAATATCCAGATTCGTATAACATACCCTTTTTGGAAATGTGAGCCTTCTGATTTCGCCTTATCCAGATGCCCTCCTACTAGTATATCAACCAGATAATTCCCTTATCCAGATTTATATGAGATTCCCTTTTCTGATTCCGCCTTAATATCCAGATTCCCACCTGCTATATACTAATCAGATTCCCTTCTCCAGAGTCGGATAGGACTCTCTTTTCCGTGGGTCTTCTGATTTTGCCTTATCCAGATTCACTCCTACTATACCACAAAACGAAAGGAAAAAGGAAAAACCTTTAAAACCCTTAAATAAAAAAAAAAGGAAAAAAGACTTTAAACTTTAAAAGAGACACTGTCAGCTTCCCTACACTACCCGACAAACCAACAGTGTAGCTCAGAGTATGACACGAAGAGTGGGTCAGGAACAGCGCCCCAGCAGCAGCTACACTCCTTGGCGAACACAAAGCATCCTCATCATCACTGTATAGGACCAGAAAGATGGCTTGCATACATTCACAATCAGGATGCGTTATGTTCACTGGCAGGGGAAGATGATAACCGTAACAGGACACACCCTCCCATCCAGCCGTCCAATACACAAACACGGATATTAATCTCAGGCAAAGAAAGTTGGTCGATGAAAGGCTGCGGGGGTATAGCTGTAAAGGACGGTCTGGTCCGTGTGAATGCCCAAGTTTTCAGACAAACATACGAACTTGACTGCCGAGGACATCATTCTCCACTATTAAGTTGGACACAGAGCTGTTTGCAAGAACAGCACACACAGTGAGTGTGTGTGTGTGTGTGTGTGTGTGTGTGTGTGTGTGTGTGTGTGTGTGTGTGTGTGTGTGTGTGTGTGTGTGTGTG